GTTACATGCTGAGCCTGCACACGGGCCCCATTTCGGGGCCCCGGCGGTCGCTGGGGGTCCCCAGGCCGCACGCCTTTGGACATTCGCCCTGGACGTCCACGGCCGGCGTTAGGGCCGCAGGTTTCGATTTGAGGCAGCATTCATTATTTATTTATTTATTTATTTGCTGTCCTATTTTTGTCTGTTCAGGCGTCGTTTTGGACTTGCAGTTCAGTACGTCCGAAGAGACTTTGGGTCTGTTCGGGGTCTGTTCGGACAAGGCCACGTTTTTGGCCTGGTACGGACATAGGCAGGCCCTGTTGGGGCCACGTCCATGTTTGTCCGACAGCGGACACTCCCTGCTGCCTCAGCAGGGAGGGCCTGGATTTCCAGTAGGGACCCAGGCAGGCCGTTTGACGACGAAAACGAGAGGCACACGGAGGCACACCCGCGAAGCCCAGCGCTACTTATAGCTGGCCCACGCCTGGGCAGACACACAGTTCGAGTAGCTCACTTCTTGGGCGACATGCTGCTGGAGCAGCGCAACAGCGCTACGTTAGAGGTAGAGGTGTACTGGCGGTTTAAAATTTAAATCCCTCACCCAGAAGACTACACGGGTACAGAAAATAGAAATGACTCCATCCACAGCACTGCAGGAGCAATGGCAACAACAACAAGACTTGTTTTTTTTTTTTTTTGAAACTTTTTGGGGGCAACAACAACAACCTCAAGAACGATGAGGGGAAAATAGGAAGAAGCAAAAAGAAAAATAACAAGAAGAAGTAAGGGGACGAAGTGGAGACGACATGACGGAGTCGACAAGGAGAGGCGGCGGAGGAGGAGGAGGAGGAGGAGGAGGAGGAGGAGGAGATGGGCAGGGAGAAGAAACACTACCGTCTTCACCCGAATAGAACGCCTGGTCATTATTATAGCTAAACTTAGGGCAACTTTTGGTCTAGATACAACGATAATTACCAGGCGTTCTTTTCTTTTCTTTTTTTTTTTTCTTTTTTTTTTCTTTTTTTTTTTTAAGTCCAGGGTGTTGTAGAGGCCAGTTACTAGGCACACGTTGATCGCCGGAAGCAGTCCTCCCTGGTCCAGGCGTTCTACTCGGGTGAAGAAGGTAGTCTAATGATGTTGAAGGCAAGAAGAAGGAAGAATACACACCTTGCGCCTCTGGCTCGTAGGCTGTTAATTTCTCATCAACAAGCTTCCGGTACGTCAATGAGTCTCCGGTATCTACTGCCCTTAGCAACTTCCGTGTCGCATCAAGCACATCAGCCTGCGGAAAAAAAAAAAAAAAAAAAAAAAAAAACAGTTCACATTACTAACTCAGGGATACACACATGCACACCGGGAAAAAAAAAAGAAAGGAAAAAAAAAGGAAAAAAAAAAAAAAAGCACCACGCCTCTTATATCCTTGGCGATCATGGACCCACCCATATGGCAAATCGAAATGATCTTCATAACTTCATCAAAATAACCGAGAAATATTTGGTTACTTATATTTACCCAGAAATATCTCTTCACTCCATAAACAGCTGGAATGGGCCATGGGACATGGACCCTGGGAGGCTGGGACCGGACTTATTTCCAAAATGTACCCCTCTGTTTGGGAGTCATGGGTTGCAGTGAGGGGTGAGGGGGGATTCCAAGCTTCAGACCATGGTTACGCCGGACCCGGACATTGGAACAGTTCAGACGTCGGGTGGGACCTCTGTCTCTGGACTGCTCTGGACCGTCCGGATTGAAAGAAAACCCTTGAAAAAACTTCAAAAAAGAAGGGGAAAAAAATCTTCTTTTTTTTTTTTTCCTTTGGATTTGGCTTGGAATTTCGGGATGGTCCTCAGCCAAAAGATTTCTGTACTGCAATGCTGCAAAACATTTTAATAACATATCTTTTTTTCAGGTTTTTTTTTTTTTTTTGTAAGTGGGATTTTTTTTTTCCCAGGTGGGGTGGGGGAATGGATCCGGACACACTGTGGACCGAACACCAGACCCGACATCCAGACCCAGACCGTCTGCACTGCGGTCCGGACGTCCGGATCGTAACGCCATGCTTCAGACTCTTGAGCGGGACTGCGGATTAAAAAAAAAACATTTAACTCTGTCATGAATGCTTGGGCATAAAAAGTCAGTATTAAGAGTTTTGAATCTTTTGATCCTTTCTTTATTAAAAAAAATAATAAAAACTAGGCTACCAGAGTGGCCCGGGGTCACTTAACCGGCCGGGCCAAAAACAATAAAAAAAATAAAAAAATAAAAAATATTTTTAAATTATACATATTTTTTCTAAATCTGGTGCAGAATTTCGATTTGACCCTGAGGCAAAAGTTGTTCAGTTTATTTTTCTTCATAACATAGTTTTTTTTCGGAATTTTTTTTTTTTTTTTTTTTTTTTTTTGCTGGTACCTTCCCTGGTCCTTGCACGGGCTGGCCACCAGGGACCCGGGCGGCCCGGCTGGTAGCCTAGAAAATAAATAAAAATAAAAATAAAAAAATATTTTGATCCTTTCTCGTCATCTCTACCGAGTCTACCCCCATACCATCAGCTGCACACAAGAAGGGCATACTCACACTACCTTCTTCCCCCAAATACAACATACGGTCATTATTATAGCTGTATTTAGACTGAAAGCTACCCCAAATTCAGCTATAATGGCCATACGTTGTATTCGGGGGAAGCCTGTAGGGCTTTTTCTACTAAGCTCTGGATGTTATTGCAGTCTGGTCGAAATTGCAGTCACTGACAGATACATTCAGGAAAGTACTAGTGCGAGTGAGACCTAACTTGCCCCAAAAGACTTCAGCTTAGCTCCACACGACTTTCTTATATCTTGGAAATTGAAACTATTTCTTGGTAATTTTAATTATTTTATTAAATTATAACATTAATACACTCGCAATTTAGTAAACCTCAGTTGCTACACCCATGAAGTGTTGCAAATTGAAATACAGACCTGAGTTCGAATCCAGTTAATGCAACTAGATGAATGAAATTCTTTTATAATTCTTTTGAAATTCTTTTGAAAAAGGGACAAGTCAGTTCCACGATGATGATATCTCAAGACTTTGTCTCCGCTTTTCAAAAGAAAAGCAATTCCCTAAATACTAAATAGTAAATAGTAAATTACTAAATTAGTAAATTGTAGATAGTTGAATCAATTTGACCCAAAACCGGGTGATCTAGCCACGAGCAGGTTTGACGAGGGTCCTAACGGTCCTTGGAGGAGTCAGTCAGTAGGACTGAACCCACATATGTGGCAAGTTGGTCTTTACATCTCTTTCGAGATGATTGAATAGAAAAAAAAAGTTAAAAAAACTCAATTAACTTGAATTAAGTAAATAAAAATACAATCGATTATCTACCCAAAAATGAAATATAGTCCCAAGGACCTATGATGGTTGTCTTAATTTGAGAGCAATTTGAGAGTAAATACTAAATACATAACCGCTATTTGGTTACGATTACAAACAGGCCTACCTTCACCCCCAAGTTGTTTTTTTATACTGCACAAGTGCTTCAAGTCTGTCTATCTTTTTCCGAATGTTATGCCCTATTTACTATTCACTATTTACTTCTGATTCTTCTGAACGATCTATCTGATCACTGTAACTACCGTCTTGACCTCAATAAAACGCGCCCGGTCAATATAGCTGTATCTGGACTGAAAATTGCACCAAATACGGCTAAAATGACCGGGTGTTCAATTTGGGTGAAAACGCTAGGTGCAAAGCGCCAACGAGTATACAAAACTCGCTGGTTTATTTGTTTGTACTTCAGCATCGTCTGTGTCTGGACATCCAGATCAAGGTCCAGGCAACCCCGGACCTGGAAGACATCTGTCCTGCTAACCTACAGCACAAATTACAAACAAGGAAGAGAAGGGCTGTTAGGGAGAGGAGGGGGGGGGGCATAGGGACAGAGAGAGAGGGAGCAAGAGAGAAAGAAAGAGAGAGAGAGAGAGAGAGAGAGAGGGGGGGGGGGGGGGGGGGGGGGGGGGGGGGGGAGGCACAAACAAAGAAAAAAGCTAAGATTTTGACAAATGAAACAAAAAAGAAAAAGGAAAAAAAAGAAAAGAAACAACCTTCCTCCTGTAGAACCAAGCTATGACTCTTCCAAGCAATCACCAAGCAATCACAGACATCATCTATCATCCATATCGATTCCATAGACATCGGCTTCTCTCTCTCTCTCTCTCTCTCTCTCTCTCTCTCTCTC